CACACCACCTTTTCCTGCCCTATGCTGTATCACTGTTTCACGGCTTTATTTCCACTGGGTTGGGCTGTTTGGAGTCATGTTAAGAGGACAAGGTCAGATTCATTGTGAGGCTGGAGGACTTCGGAGCCCAGTGTCTCTCCACAGGGTCTTTAAATTTCCAGACTGTGGACAAAACAGCCTTGTGTCATTTCCATTTTGGGAAGAAAGAAACTTTGAATCCTAGTGCCCTGTCTAGCAATTAGAGTATGATGGCAAAGCCATTTCCTCTTTGTTCCCAGTTCTGTCATCAACCAACGATTCCTTTTAGACTGAGGAGTGTGATGCCAATGATGATTACAACCCACAATGTTCACTGAGCATTTCCTACGTGCCAGGTTCTGAGGGAGGGCCGTGCTGCGTGCTAGCTTTTTCCTCCTCATAACAGCTTTGTAATATATAAGCCATTTGACCCTCATTTAACAGGTGAGATAGCTGAGGCTTACAGAGGCCTGATTCCAACACCATGTCCTTAACCACCATTTTGATGGTTCTTAAAAGTTGGGGTAGGGATCTTAAGTCACTGGTAGAGTGTGTTGAAAAACAGATGGCCAGATTCGGTAGGTCTGGCACGGAGTCCCAGCCTCTGCCATTTCATGAACTCCACATATGATATGCCCCCAATTGTAAGAACCAGCACATATCTTTACCGAAACGGGGTTTAGGAGGGAGTTAAAAGAGCCTCAGGAGCTAAGGAGGTTTAAATTGGGAAGTAAACGGGAAGAACAAGATGGTCTCTGGAACTGCACATGACTGCTGCTTTCCGGCTGCAAGGTGTCTGTCCTTCCATTGTCCAGGGCTGGCATTTTAAGTGCATCACTTAGGCTCCCAACACTGATGATGAAATCAGTATGTGACACGGAAGTCCCATTCATGTTTAATCCTTTCTGCAAGTATTACGAAGGCATTATGTGGAGGGTTTTCTAGAAGGGAATCGGTGATCAACCCACGGGTACCAAGAAAGGAGGAGCTACCAAACATTTTGGATCTCTTAGTCTTCTTGGCCTGTGA